CCCTTTTGTATGACCCGCGTGGCGCTTTTTGTCCGCCTGACAAACGCAGGAAACCAGGACGGGGAGGCTTCACGCCCAGTAAGATGCGCACAAGTCAGCGCGGCTGCCGATTACTGCCCGTTGCCACGGAGACGAGTGGCGTACCCACGATACCAAATCCAGGGTGTCACCTGAGTTCTTGTCAACTTTCCATGCCGACAAGCAGAGTGATGCAGACACCTGTGGAATCCCATCTGGCTTCCGGGTAGGACCGCATCCCCAACACCCCCCCGTCCGGGGGTGGTACGCGCCAACTTACCCCCGAGACGATGAGCTCTCCCCCGAGGTTCTGCACCTCGGCCTTCACTTTGCTGCAGATGTTCAGCTGGTGACAGTAGAGGGCAATCCGTTGCAGGTATGCCAGCAGGTCTTGCTTACAGGCCGAGTCGGGGCACTAGAAAAAAGAAGAGGAGCTGTTCATTAAATTACCTTTTAATTAACTGCTAATTATCAGCCCTTCCTACATTCCTACATACATGCTAAACGGGTTGAAGTCTTTAGCATTCAAAATGACCTTTAAATAAGGCAAAACCGTGGTGTGAATTTGGCACCAGCACTTCATAGGGCGGCGAGGATGCAGAGAGTGTAGACCCAAGATCTGTTTGGGGGCCATCTGTTAAAATCAGCAATTTGCGTACATCTGCGGACGTGGCGTGATGTTTCAAGCACCACGTTTAGGAGATGTGACTCTGAACGGGGTGATGGAGGCACCGAGGGTGTCGCTCAGAGCGGGCGGGACGTGAGCCAGGCTCCGCTCCGCATCGCAATGAGGCCGGCGGACCGGAAGAAGGGCGGGGGCCCAACCTGAGTCAGCGGACAGCTTTTGGATCAGCGTGTCGCCCTCAGACCACCGTGGCTAAACCCAAGATCCTCAGACAGCAGCCCCCGCAATTATGGAAAAAGCCCACTGCCGTAAAAGCGCTTTTTATGACTTTTTAATACTGCCATAAAAATAAGCACACCAATAAATAGAAAAGGAGAACAAATCAATATAGAAGTGAAAGGAATCTTGAGACCCTTTGTTCTTTTGTTCTACCATAGGGTGGATGAGACGTACCACTGGGGTAATGAAATCTGACCATGAAATTCAATTAAACTCCACAAAGTTACACCTCCTTTTTACTCTGTAATATTTTAGATGGGGTTCAATGTTAACCGTATGGAATGAGGCATTATGGGAAATGGAGTCCTGAGACAGGCTGCCATTTTGCCCAGCACTTCCTGTACTGTGCCGGCCTCCTACAGATTTCACCTGCAGCGCCACTCAGACTGCAGAAACAGAACAGCTGTCGTTGCAGTATTCGTGCAGCCCAAGGTGCCAAATGCAGCTTTTCTCCCTGTTCGATCAAATGAAGGCTCTGTCTGTCTGATGGTCTACGAGCTTCTCCTTCGGTCACGGTTGATCTGAGTGCCGCAGAGAAAGTTAAACAAAACTCAGCACAAAGTCCAGGCCCCGTAAGGAACAGTATGGGCTACCGTGTAATCCTTGTGGAGTGTGGAGGCCACTGCTCGTACGCAGTTCTGGACTCCTGAGAGACAGAGTGTTTCTGTTTAGATGCAGTACTTTCTGCCTATGACCTTGTGTCACGCCAAGCTGTCATACCTGATTGGTTCATTTTATCCTTCGATCTTGAGGTGCCTTATCAAGGCTGAGACAGAGTGTGTTTACAATGCATAAAGGAGCCCTCCCCCCCCACCTCCCCTCGTTAACCTCCTTGTTAGAAAACCTGAAGCTGCACTTCAACATTAGTTTTCATTTTTTAATTGAGTAAAAATATTACTTGGCTGTAGCTTAAAGTCGTCACTCATTCTGTGGTTCCTCTGCCTGTAATCATTCAGGTTGTGATGAGTAATATGATTACCGATGAGCGGCCAGCTCCACATTTACTTTAATAAATTAATTTCCGTAAACATAGAGACTTGGCACACCAACAAACATGTCCGACAGATTCCTGCATAGACTCCGCACTATAATACAGGCTATCTGACACTCCAAAGGACACAATCTACTTTGTTTTACTCGAGGAATGTCTGCTACGAACAACAAGGTTTGTCATGGCTCGGTGGTCTATGATTCACGTGGACAAGGACAGGAACAAAGACAGGAATCTCAATGCTTCTCAGTCAAGAACAAGATCTCAACTCTTCACATTTGACATCAAGAAAAATAACTCAACCAATAACATAACCTCAGCTCTTTTTAATCAAGAATAAGAACTAAACTTTTCACAACCAAGAACAAGATCTGTACTCTTCACAACCAAGAACAAGATCTCAACTCTTCTCTGATGGATTCTGTTTCTGATGGCAAGAATGATATGGAAATAATTCCAGAAACTATAAGATCACCCATAGGACTTTGTTTACCAACAACCTCTCCTTTCCTTGTGTATGTCCGACTATTTGCATGCAAGATGAAATCAGTGGTGGCCTTCGCTCTGTACCTGCAGGACAGGATTTAATGAGCTGAACTTGCTCAGAAAGAAATGCCCAAGCCCTCCCTCTGCATGAGCTCACAGCGTGCATGTGAGCTCGTCAAATGCAGCACGGGGAAGCAGAAGGACGTGAATATTCAAGTCAAGGAATCGGTTAACGCTTGAATTAAGAATGGCAAGCCACCTGTTCAATTCATTAAAGCAACTGTTGATTCTGTTCGGGACCCGCTGCTTTGCACTGCATCAGATTCCCACTGAAGCGATTCTGCACAATTCCGTGGATACGGTTCAGTAACTTCATAGCCCAATGTGGTGGGAGCATGTGTGCATGTGCCGTGTGTGTCTGTCCCTGTTTTTTCTCTCCCGAAAGCCTACTTCCTGCTTGATACCAAATTTCTCATTACTCAAAACCGGCAGGCTAATTTCAATATCAAACGAACTTCCTTGCTCGCAAGAAGAGATGGGGGCAAAAAGAAAACAACAAGCCAGGTCCTAATGAATCGATACCTCTTTGTGAATGGACATGATACTCGACTTATTAAATGTTGATGAAGCAAACAGGCTCCCCTTCGCAGATGACACATCATAGCCATCATCGCCACATACATCTCCCTCTTTTATTCAAGGGGCCAATTTGATTGACTAGATATTGAAAGAGGCCCATCAGCACATCGCAGAGGTGCCTCAGAGGGCCTAATTATATTAAAGATGGGCCCTATTTGAACTTGGGTTCACAGTTCCTGAGCGGGTTGTGAGGAGCTGGATAGCCTGTTTTCACATTGCTGCGGCACCTAGACCTTCAGAAAAATGTAAACAAATAAGCAAACAAAAATCTGGCATGGGTAACCCGGCTCTCCTGGAGTACCTTTGGAGCCCATTTGCGTAATAAAGACCTTTACCTGGTCAGCAACGGCACGGGCCAGTTTGTCCATCCTGGAGCCGGCCTCTGCGATCTTCTTGGCAGCATTGATTACGTCGGAGGAGTTCTTCAATGGACCTTTGCCCCTGTTACAGAAGCCCGGGAATGAAACTGATAGTTGGTGACCTTTGTTTACCAAGGATGAAGGGGTGACCTTTCATCAGCGACACTAAGACCCTATTACAAGATCCTATGGCATAGTGCCAGTACCTCATCACATGCCACGATTTATTTTCCCATCACCTTAGCGACGGCCCAATTATGGCCGATGATTGATTTGGCGTTACACTAGACAGAGCTATCTTAGGAAAATGTTCAGTGGGTAACATTTTTGCCTTGGTCTTTCTCAGTCCGGTATGGAACATCCCGGAACACACAGCCGATACCACATCAACCGACAGGCTGGCTGTCCTTGACTGACTAGCATTTATATATCTGTCAAGGTAATTGGTGTGTGCAGGCAATTTGCAGGAAAGGTCCATGTTCTGAAGACGAGGTAGTTATAAATCCAATAGATTGAACATCAAAGTTTGAAAACAGACGGGAAGTCAGAAGCGGCAGGCAAGTTAGGAACAGCAGACGGAGGTGGCTTGCGAGTAGATCAACACGAGGCCACCTCAGTGAATAATTTGAACAGTTTGTCAGGAGCAGCCATAGCGATGACACAGATTTCCCTGCTCACTGCAGCCTGCGTACCTGGTGAAGTCAGTCATCTCCATCATGATCATGCACATCTGCTTGGCTAGCACGATGATGTCGTTGCCGTTGTCGTCCCATTTGGCTACCTCGGCGTCCAGCTTGCATTTCTCTTGCCGGAAGCTCTCCACCTGTTCGGCGATCTTGGCCTTCTCCTCCTGAGGCAGCTGGGCCATGATGGCCTGGGATGGAGGGGAAGAGAGCGGGGGGTGCGCAGGAGGAGAGGGAGGGGGAGGGAGAAGGCGCGGAGGGAAAAGGGCAGCACGGATGGGAGGAGAGAGAGATGGCACAGAGGAAAGGATAGGGAGAAAGAGAGAGGTGTATAGAGGAAAAAATGGACAGTAGGAGAAAGGCAGGAAGGTGGTAGGAGAGGAATTTGAGAAAATAAAAGATGGAGAGAGGTGATGAATGGAGCAGGATCGAAAGAGAGGAGCGGCAGGATGATGTATACAGAAGGCAGGAAGGGTGGGAGAGAAGGGCAGATGGAGGGATGGAGGGGGGAGAGAGAACATGAATTGGGACAGCGAGCATTCCAGGAAATCCCTCTGCCCCCAAACTCTGCATCAAGGCCTATTAACATTGTTTAACCCATGGATACTCCACAAATTACTTCACGTTACTCATATACACGTGTAAGATGTGGCATATGCCTGGCCAGCAGGATAACGGTCCACAGACTGCAGAAATCACACCTTCAAGGTCATAAAATACTGTGGTGACCTACAAGATCCCATTTCTTTATAACTACAGGGAGTGAAAATATTTACATGTGGACCCTTAGAATGGTATCTCTTTGAAGTATAATACAGCTTCTTCAAAGAGCTTGGAATAAAGAGATAGATTTTTCCATTAATCAACCGGACACACACATGCTTAAAGACCAAAGTCTACGTTTCCATTTTGTCGCCAAGATGGATGAATTCTCTTCACGACGATCCGAAGCGCATCCAAGACTGAATAAATCTCTCAGGCAGGTCACAGACACATAAAAGTGTGCGAGGCAGGCGATGCAATGATGATTTAAACATTTTTACTTCAGCTTTATTGTTTAAAAGACAAAATAATGAGAGAGTTCAATACAATCCTCAGCTGAAATGTAATCCTGTCCAGAAAATTACAGAACATGAGCACACTCAAACAGAAGACTCCCCCCCACCACACACACACACACACACACAGCTCTCAGTCGGGGAATCCTCGCCCCACTCAGGCCGGATGGTCGGAGAGCAGGGGGTCGCAGGAGAACGGAGGGAAGAAGTGCGTCACCCCCTCCCCTGCCATTAAGAGGCGGGGGGACGCTCCCAAAGCTGCCCCTGTAGCCTTCCTGGAGAGGTGGGAGCGGGGGGTGCATTGCTATTATTATTATTATTCACGTTAACTGAGGCAATTGAGGCTATTTCCAAATTTGTGCTCGTTCCCACTATGGAGGAAGGGTGTTTTACGGGGGACGGGCTCGGTTTGGGCTGGCTTCGGGCTTGCAGCACAGCGCCACCTGCTGCCTGGCTCTGGCCGCCATCTGGCCGGGACTCAGCCCAAACGCCAGTGATAGCGTTTGCTCCTCACTTGTCCCCCTGCTTCCCGTGGCCCCCCTCCCTCAAGGTTAGCCCTCCGGTTTGCTGGCCACTCCCCCCCCCCCCGCCTGCCCCCAGCATGATCCCCCACCATCCGGCACAGCGAAATGGTAACTAGAGCAACAAGCTCCACGGTGACGGCTGCTGGCGTCCTGGTAACCGAGCAGCTGACCTTCCCGCTCGTATTAATCACTTCCCATCATGACTAGCCAAAAAAGGAGAGATTCACTGAGGACGCTGAGGATCCAGAAACTGCCTTTTAAACAGAGGGATGTTATTGGGGGCAGGGAACGACCGGGCAAGGGGTGATTAAGGCGTCACCAAAGCTGGTCCCCAAAAGCATTGCAGTCCCTGACACAGATTGCCACCATGTCACCAAATCAATTACTTGTTAATTACCAATTACAGAGCTTGTAATGACAAACATGAAAAGACAGGGGGAGCCAGAGAGGCCCGCTTAGCCCAAGCGTATAAATGAGGGTGACTCACAAACACACTGATATGACCCATTCCTACAATCCCCGAGCAAGATACGCGGGACAGCAAAGTTAAGAGAGGTCAGAAAAGTAAAGTGAGGAATCGAGAGGAGTCCGTCTATCCGATGGTGAAATTCGTCACGCGAGGCGTTAAAAAAGCGCTTCTGGAATTCACTTATCCCCAAAACCCTCCCTCGCTTTCCGATAACAACAAGAGCGGATGCCCGGTGTTTAATGCGGCCGCAAATCCTTCCTACATGCGGCGTGCTCGGCCGCGCGCGGCAGGATTAAGGCCCGCGTTGGGTTTCTCCCCGCGCCAAAAAGCGTCTCCAAACGGCTTTCATTTGTTTCATTCGAAATAAACGGGACAGTGGCTCCAGAGTTCAATTTTACAGCTGACTTCTCCCGTGGGGTTACCTCGGCGGGTTTTCAGTTCCGTGACGAGCACGTGGACCGCACTACGCACCAGGCGGGGGGAGGGGGGTTTGTCCTGTTCTTACTGATCGAGTCGTGGTCTTGTTAATGACTTGAAGCGGGGCGAGCTTTATGTTCCCAAATAATAGATCTGACAGGCAGAGTGGGAGAAGCCGACAGCGTGACGGAATTATTCAGGGACCCTCTTACGAGAGTCACCCCTGCGGACACACAGGGAATGCGGCGCGGCTGACGACAATGGCAGGACGCGGTGGGATCAGATCGGCTTAGAGGCCGATGGTGGTCACTGTAGCCACATCAGCCCCAAGTGCACCAAACCCTCCACACCGTCAGTCCGCTTCCTGCCATTGTGGGACATGGCTGTAGATCGTTCCACTATCTAGGCTATGCACCTGCACTTCCCTTCGGCCATGACTGCCCCCCCCCCCCCCCCAACAAATCTCCATCGACCTACATTTTTCCAAGCGGATGGTCCTGAGAGGGATCAGACAGCAGCACTGACCCCGGTTCTGCGTCCTGGCCCGCAGGCATAAAGACTTCCCTTTGTCCGTGTTTTTCAGGTCGGCAAGCCGACAAACGGGGGGGGGGAGTACATCTGAGAAAAGGCAAGTGGGGGGTAATGAAGGGCAATTACTCATCCTTCTCCTCAGACGTGTGACATACATCACAGTACGTCTTCCACACCTGTTGGACTCCACCGTTGCATTGGGTGCACCTAATACTATTGGGCGAGCTTCCTTGGGGAGTCTCTGGACCCCTGTCGGACATAGCAGCGACAGTGCCAGTGCTTCTCTGACCGCTTTCCCAGGCATCACCCCACGTCGCCCTCTGCTGGCAGGGGTGGAAGATCACTCATTTCCTTGTCTCTGATAATCTCTTCAGATTTCTGATTCCCGGCAGAAGTTCACCTTGAGCTGGCAGCGCCGCACCACAGTTTCTGACCACAAAGCTGTGGTTCTGGGCCGGCCCAGCAGAACAACGAACATGTTCTTCTTTCGGGTCTCTGCGTACACAGCTTCTCTCAAACTTTGGGTCCATCACAGGCATGATAAGTTGACTGCTGCGTAGGTTCCCGAGCCAGACCCAGACCTCACTGACTATCCTTAATTCAGCCGGAACCTGCTACCATTCCTGTCCATGCCAACTGGCTCCGGGTTCAGCTCAATTTTCCGCTCAGTCTTTTCCATCCACGGTTCTTCCTCCTGGGGACTTTACAGCAGGGAAAGATAGCGAGAAATGGGGCCAGAACGGTCCCATTCTCCAACATGCCACCATTCATCCGGGCGTGGGGGCCTCCCGGCGAGCAGTGTGAGGCACTGATATCCTGCTAATGTCCCATAAGCAGACTAGCGATCTCAGTGGGGCACACCGAGCCAAATGACCAATTATATTACGCAATTACTCAAAAGGCATTCTGGGTAATGTCAAGGGGGGGAAGAGGCAATTGTTCTGCAGGTTTGGGAAATTAACATAATTGATGGTCTTATTGTTTCCAGTGGGTCATAATTTTGATGACGTAATGCATCCCACCCCTGGTTAACAGGATGTGACCTCTTTTGGGATATACTGTATATCACCCCTGGTTCAGGTAGTTACTGTTGGTACCCCGGGTTGGTTTGGAGCAGTCCAGGTGACATCTGTACTCACTCTGGCACTCTGCCCAGCGATCAGCTGATCGTCCTCCGTCTGGATGCTGGTACGACTCCGGGCATCGTAGTCCTCCTGCTCAAAGTCCGAGTCGTCCTCCAGCTCTTCCGGCGTCTGTTTGGGGGGGTGGAGTTAAAACATGGAATGGCTAATGACAGCTCCCTCATCAGGTCACTAAGGGAAACGAACAATAAACAGTAATGCATGGTTTTCATCCCGAAACCCAAGTAAACCTCAATCAACCTATTCTGGTTTGTGACAAACCTAAGAGACAAAGTAATAAACGATTAACCTGTATTTCTGCAAGTCTATTCTTGCTTTTCGTCATCTGCTTTTGGGTAAATGTAACATAGTGCTAAAAGCCCTCTAAAAATGAAAAATGATACATTTTCGTGTATGTTTTTGCCACGTCCTCAGAAAGCAAATGCTAACTGGGCTATTTTCATATCAGCCAGGAATTAACACGGCTACGTTCTCTGAATCAACAGGAAGCCGGAGATGGAACATAATCAGCATCAGAGCGGCGGCTGTCTGTCATCACCGCCAGAAACCGCCCCCCTCCAAGACTCTCTGGTGTCGTAGCTCTTAGAAGCTGTCCCAGATCCTCTGTTGAGAGCTGTCTCGAGTCTCCCGCACACACACACCCCTGGTGTGACAGCGGGGAGTGCACACACACACACACACACACACTTAAATGTTCCTCAGAGCTGGCAACCTCACTTTCTGCTGGGCCTTGTGTGTGCGTGCGTGCTGGGTATGTGTGCGTGCGTGCTGGGTGTGTGTGCGTGCGTGCTGGGTGTGTGTGTGCGTGTGTCTATGCCTCAAGAGGGAGTATGACCGTGAGGTAGTTCATCTTCAAATCAGGCCAGGTTCCACGGAGGGGGAGGGGGCAGGGTAGGCCTGGCCCACCCAATCACAACCTTGGCCCGCCTCCAGGTTCAGCAAACAGCAGCCAATCACTGATTTTACTTCTTAATTTTTGTAAACAGGAAGGAAGCAATCCAATTTGCTTAGAAGACAAATGTACTTTCACTCTTACACCTAAACACCGATCCCCGGAAAATCCTGTGACCCCCCCCAAAACCTTAGAGCTAGAGCCTCAGACAAAAAAACAACAAAAGGCAACATCAAAATCACACAGGAATAAAATCAGAAAAGTGAAAACAGGTCGGAGGCTGTTTGATCCTGGGGGGCGGTGGGGGTTGCCTTTGTGTGGGTTCTTATTACAAACCGGGTCTGAAGAACTGTCAGAGGACTCCATGAGATCCCCAGAGCACTGCATGGGCTATGTAGCATGCCGGGGTATACTGTACCTGCCATTCCCCATTCCCTTTCTAGAAGTTTACAAACAGGCTATTTAACTCCGCCTGATACACCATCCGTCATGGGGTCAACTGCGGGGTTGTTTTCAGCGTGAAGCTTCACGGGACAGAAATCATGGCATACCAAAGACCCCCTGTTATGCAGGCGGGCAGCTGGGGGGGGGGGGGCGAGGGTGATGAAGATGAGGGTGAGGTTCATGGGGCCTGTTCACCATTATTTACCAACATCAAATTATTTCTACGATTTGATTTCGCTGCCAAACTGGGAATGGTTCCAGAGGATTAATCTTCAATGAATGAATTACTGCTGCGGCGGCGGGGCGGAGGCCTGTGGGAGTCTGGGAAACGGAGGGGGGGGGAGGGTGCTGGCGCGGGTGTTTGGGCCTCCCCACGGGTCGCCTCTGGGTCCGGGCACAAACGGACCGACTCCATCCCCTGCGAGACCCATGGTGGGTAGGAGGGCGCTGGATGCCACACGTGGGATTGGCATTAGGGAGCGAGACGGATAATAAAGGCATACAGGACTGGGGGGGGGGCAGAATTCACACATTTAATAGGCGCTGCACTGGGAGCAGTATGGATATTACACGCATTATTGCATGCTTTATGCATATTGTATATTATGTATTGTATGTATTGTGGCTCTTCAGGGTTACATGCTGCAGGGAGGAGCGCATGCAAGTATTTCATTCTATTTGTACCTGTGCAAATGACAATGAAACTTTTGAATCCTTCAGTCCTATATAACGACATTTTATGTGCAAACACAAACATTGATTATCTGCCAAGGTGAATCCCTTTTGATTAGCATTTGCCAACAGTGTTGATTTTTGGTCATTTTTGCCTGCACATTTCGGTCATTTACCGTAGGACACCCAGATCACAAAGTAAAGCTCGTACGGGTACCCTTCTGTCCCGTGTCAGTCACGTTCACGTTCACGACCCCTGTCGCCTCACCCGAATCATGAGCACGGCCTTCCTGATGTCGCGCACGCCATCATAGACCAGGCGGGAGGCGTCGATGAACTCGTTCTCTTCGAATGGCTGCGGGGGGCTGGTGCTCAGGGCCTCGATCGCCACCTCCACCTGTTCGGCGAAGCGGGGCATCACTGCCGAAGGAGGAAGACAAATATTCAGGTTATCAGCCATTTCCTCACCCCCCCCCCACCCCCACCCCCGGCTGGATGCAACCAAGGCGATATGAGGCAGCCAGCCAAAGCTGTGTGTTGTATGGATGGATATTTCTCTCTAGGGGGACCTTGTCCCCAAAAAACGAGGGAATGCGATGACTTCACAGGGAATATACTCATTCCTGCCCTGGAGAATATTTCCACAGATAAAAAATAAAGAAGTGCCTTTCTATTGGGACAGTTTCTGATCTGCAGCAGGAGATCAGATGCCGTCATGTGACCCCCCCCCCACAACACGCGCACCCCCACGACCACCACCCCTGTGAAGTAAAACTCAACTGAGTCTGTCATCCCCATGGCCGCTGTACTCACATGATGCCCCATATTGCGTTGCCCTGACCCACATCTCCAACACTCACACCAGATTATCTAAACCTCAAGTCCGGGTTTTGCTGGAACCTCGAACCCCTGAACCGGACCGGGCAGATTTGAAGGCCTGTGCCTCTGAGGTTATTTGCTCAAGACGTGCCTGTCCGTGTGTGACCGCATGCAAAGGCGGGCACTGGGACCCAGGGGACGTGGCAAATCGGCTGACAGGGACAGGGAATGCTGGGAAATGCGGTGCAGTGGGACTCAAAGGCAATATAATAACGGAGGGAAAAAGACCTTGCCAACGTGAAGTAAGACTCAAAGGAGGAAGGGGGAACTAGGAACCAGCTTAATGAGGACTGGGAAGGTGGAATGCACCAGTGCTTTCCGCTGGGCATCCGAGACTCCCCCCCCACCATCCGCTTAACCCGCTCTCATTTATTTATTTCACTCTTTACTTTCAAACGCAAAGAAATCCAAATCAATTACTGGCTTTAAGATTTCCCAGTCAGAAGCAGAAGGTATATTACAAAGACATAAAAGCAGTCAAAATAACCAACCCCCCCCCCCGAAAAACATTTTAATCCACTTAGCCGAGCGGTGTAGAATAAGCTTCTGGGAATCACACAGAGGTGTTAAATAGGAATATTTAAATGTTCTCAAAGCCGGTAATGAGCATAGCTGCTGATGGTAACGAACAATTTCACTCAGGCCCGCTGAAAAATGACGAACGGAATGAAAGGCGACTGAGCCGGAATGGAGTTTCCTGGAGCCAGACTATAAATTTTCCGGTAAGTATGAGTATAACGTGTGTTTAAATCAACACAAGAAGAAAGAAAGTACTACCCAAGGCAAAGTAGGTAAATGAAAATGTGCCGTGTGTAAACACAGTCTGAAAGGAGACATACAACCTCCCCAGGACAAAAGATGGACAGGGGCTTAATAAAGTGCATGGGAATGAGCAGCGTGTTTATTAATTAATCATGGTAGGTTTACATGCGATAGTGGCATGATTTACACCAAATCAGCCCAGTACACACTAATCTTCTGACCAAGTGACGTTGACCGGGGTGGGGAGTCTGATCCATGGAGGGTTGGCGTGGATGTGGGATTTTGGGATGACCTCTCAGTCAGCCAATAATAAAGCTGGGGTTCTCAACTCCAGTCCTGGGGACCCACTGTCATTGGCTGATTGAGAGGTCATCCCAAAATCCCGCCCCCACAGCGGCCCTCCATGAATCAGGCTCCCCACCGCTGATGCAGACGAAAGTATATATTGGCGGGAAGGAAAATGGCAGCACTGACCTCTCCTTTAGAAAGTACACCAACACCCCCATCCCCCACCCCGCTCCAAAGTCACCACAGCCCCTCTTTGACCCACCTCCCCCCTCCAGATTAGCCATCGCTGTGATACACCATCAGAGATCCGGTTACACATGTATACCTCATTCTTGTAAGTTGAATCAGAGTCCAGTTTGAAACACCTTTGAAGTTCCAGGAAATTGTAAGGGGTGAGTGTGGGGTAAAAAGCAATGAGAAGTGGGAATTTGCATGTCCGTTCGATATATGCATCATTAACCAGCTGGGTCCGGTTTCATGTTACAACCTTGAGGTTGGCCCTGGAACAAGGGATTCTCCCACTGAATAGATGGCTTTCAAAATATGCTTTGACACTAATGTTTGACCTGATCATTTATGCCGTCATTTACACTGTCAGAGGCGTTTAAAGGCCTTTATATTTCTGTAGGGAACAGGATCTGAGTACTCCATTATTCCTCATCAACGCCCTACCTCTGGGGGAGGGGGGGGGGATACAGACCCAGGAACTGGTGGGTAAAGCTCAGGTATCGTCATGGAGGTCATCTCAGATAGCTCTGGTCCACAAAGCACGGGCCTGCTCAGGATTCAGTGATGCCTTCACCAGAAGATCAGCCTCAACGAGGGGATGGGTGGCACTGGAGAAAGCAGCCATCGCCATTTTTTCGATTAGGCCATCTATCACCCCACCCCCCCTTTAAGATCAGCCTGCGCCTGGGGGGCTTCAGTAGTGACAGAAGATCTCAGCGGCAATCGGCCGTGACAGTAGGCCAGAATCGCCCTCACACCCAAGGTAGTGCCTTACAGTCAAGTGATTCTGCTTGATACCGCAGAACTGGAGTTATCTAGAAATATCTCATATTTTTCTGCCAACGCTCTTATTCCCAATAAAATCTTCACCCAACCCATCAAGGATGCTAATACAAGTCCTCAGCCCACTCAATCCTCATTGAAAATGGGTAATATATGAGGCTAACTCAATTGACATGGAGGCTGCGGTTGAATATTATGTCCTATGTCCTTCTCCTAACCAGATTTCTTTGACCTTGATGGAAAACATCATGAGGTGAAGGAAAGATATGAAGGAAAAGTCATAAGAACCTAAGAAAAGAGAGCCGCGGTGCTAAGAGAATCTGACCGCACTTACACTAGCAAAAGAGAACCGCGGTGCTAAGAGAATCTGACCGCACTTACATTAGCAAAAGAGAACCGCGGTGCTAAGAGAATCTGACCGCACTTACACTAGCAAAAGAAAACTGAAATATATTACTTCGCTACCAAGGTTGGAATTGAAATATCCTGGTCAGGAAGCCTGTGCATCTCAGGAGACAAGGCAGGGGGACAAATATGGCCGATTATCCTAAGTACGTGTCTAACATCAGCTCTCCTGACATTGGGAAGAAATCGGAGCAGCCAGAAGAAACTCACAAACAAGAAGAGACCAGGATTTGAGTCCCCGGATCCAGAATAGAGAGCCAGACTGAGCTCCAGCATGTTCATGGGACGTGATCACATCATTAATACCTATGTGGGTACAAGTCATGCTATTCACATTGCACGTCGCCACCCCCACCAGGTAAACCACCGAAATTTCACCCCACAGGTCACACGTCGTTCCTGGAGTTATGAATCTTGACAGTAGTAATCAGCGACCTGCTGGCACACATGTCACGCTGTTCTCATAGAAGCAGGAACATCTTGTACCGACCCAAAAAAATAATTAGAACGAATAAAACTCAGGGACACACTGATTAACTGCTATGTCCAGCTGAACACCAGTATAGCACCCGGACGACATCCCCTCGCCCCCCTGCCCCCACCCTATTGATGGTGTATGGTGAGATATGGACCCCAGCTGGAATTAATTGCACGGTCGAGTTCGCTAACGCCTTCAAAGACGCGCTGGCCCACACAATCACGGGGGACTTAATTGCTGCACTTAATTACTGCAATAAGAAAAAAAATTGATTTCCTGGCATGCTAAATATGGTAAAACATGGGGGGGCATTAGCCGTAGCGGAAGACGCCGGCAGGATGGGGGTCAGGCCTGGGACAGGGCTGTCACGCTTGCCTGGGGCCTGCCGCTCCATTTACGCCCCACTTTGAGTTTGTTGTTTCTTGCTTAAAAAAATATTAATTCTATCCATTTGTCAGGTGTTCACTTAACTAATTTTGATTATTACTGCTTCATCGATTCAGGAAGTAACTCAAGGTGTTTAATAAGAGGAGGTAAAATGCCCTTTGATAGAGTAAAATGCCCCTAGGGCTCATTTTCGAATATAAAACATGACTTTTAATCTTGATTAAATGTCCTGATATGGAAGTGTGTGCTTCTATGCAGTGGACAACACTTTTGGTCTGCACGGACAGGCGGTCCAGTTCCTGAGGGAGGGGGCAGATGGGTTAGGGGGCTGGACCGAGGGGCAGGCTGTTGTGTCTATACCCATTCCCCCAGAATGGCGGCTAATTACGCTCTGCCTACACGTCAGTCATGTGACTCATCGCACCTTTGTTTATACCATACAATCTGCCTCCGACTCTTTGCGCTGTATTGACTGTCTATCACCGTATCTAATGTGCCTTAACTAATTACACCGCTTCAGCTTCTCTGGCAGAAAATTAAAACTCACAGAAATAAAATTTGAGCAGACAGCGTAAAGGCGCGTGTTGCCTGGGAGAGATGCATCCATCACAGATATGAGACGTACAGTTATGGATGTGAATTATACAGGGCTGACTGCTGTAGATGCGTGAGGGGGCGGGGCAAGGGATGATGGGCAGGGCAAGGGGTGGAGTAAGGGGTGGACCTAGGTAGTGATTGACAGCCAGGCTCACCAGTCTCTGAGAGCAGCTTGAGTGACTCGAGCACGCGTTCTGTGTACACGCCCGGCTCGTAGTTCTCCATCTCGGCGTTGATGATGTGCACGACGCGGGCAGCGCGCCCGCGGATGGCGCCGGCCGTGCGGTCCAGCGTGTCCACGTCACCCTCCTGCAGAGCAATGACGCACTTGTTCACGTCCTCCAGGATGTGGTTCTCTGGGGGTGGAAGGCGAGAGAGCAGGATGGGTGCCGTACTCGGAACGAGGTAAAACTCAGAATGGAAACCTATACTTTTGACTCAAGGACATTATATAAGCTGGCATCCATTATCCACTTCACAGGCGTCTGGACAAGCCTAAGCCAGACTGACCAGCTTCGTGACTCACTGGGGCGATTGGGAAATGTAACACTTACAGTGAGGCCAATCAAAGGCCCGTTATGCTTAGCGGAGAATCTGCATAATCTCAACGTGAGGCTGTAGGTCTCCCATAACCAAGTTTATCTTCAACAGACACGTTTTGTTTAAGCAAACAGTACATATTTAGTATTCCAAGAAACCTCTGTCGGTTTCTTTACAAAGCTGAACTGGCCTTTATTTACGCAAAGGTGCAGAATAGCATCGTTTCCGAGAAACGATGAACGATAAACGCATCATAAAGACAGACGATCACGACGCTTTAACAAATGGGTACCTGAGACGGACAGGAAGTCGTCCACGGAAGTGATGTCATCCACAGCCTCGGTCAGGATGCGCACCTGCTTCTCCCATTGGTCCTTGAAGACGTCCATGTTGTCCTGTGCCACCTTGCTCTGTGGCCGTGCGGCCAAGGTCAGCGCCGCATTGATGACCTGAGGAGCGGGACCAGGGACCCACAGGAAGCTCAGCTTCAAGTGGCTTCATAAAGATCCTACTCTATTGGCCCTGAATCCCAAATCTAGAGAACTATTTCTGCAGTCCTAGATCCTACAACTACTCCATTGGTTATCTGGATAATGGCCTAGATATATGTCACAGCCTATAGCCTTTGGCCGAGAGGTACATCATGGCTTCTGGGGTTCTACTGTTTAAGACACGGGATTTTGTAAGATGTGGCCCATAAATATGGCCATAATTCAAACAGAGAGAACAACCTGCTTTAAATCAGTGAGTGACAGGGGTAGGGCACTTCAGGGACCAATCAGCTTTCAGCTGAGGCAAGTGGCCCTGTGGCCCCACCCTTGTATGTACTGGACTAGGGATAGGTTTGTGAGCCTGAATCCCTAAACAGATCAGTAGCTAAGAAGACGCAATAGCTCAACTGGGGTAGAGAGTGTAACTGCTTTCGTTTGCAGAAGAGGAATTTATACGCGGCATTTAGAGAATGTATAATGTTGGTGAAATGGGATTCGTCGATGGTGGCAGCAGTCGAAACAGCCCGGGATAACAGCGCTGAATGGGGGAAACTGGAGCAGTACTATTCCCAATCTGAGGGGGGACATTAACGCTAAAACGTGCTGCCGCGTTTTACTGCCCGCGTGCATTACCTGGTTTACGGTGCACACGGGTACCGTCATAAATCCCGTCCACGCCAGAATGATGACCTAGCATTGTGCAAAACTACAGCAGTCAGCTTGTGAAGTCAAGATGGGCGCCACGTGATCAAGCAAGCTGTTCTGCCATCAGAAACGGCCAGCGCCCCCTGGTGTCTGAGGTGCGGAACTGGCCGATTCGCAGGATGCACGGTGTTCAAAGCTTCTGAACTACAAACGGGCAAGATGGGGATTTGGGCGATTTAACATCGGCGCATGTTCATTATCATTTCAAACAGGCGGCTTTCATTGCCCGGTGTGTATGCGTGTGTGTGTGTGTGTGTGTGTGTGTGTGTTCCCCCAATGGCACTTTGGAGGACAAAGCCGAAATCGCCCATTGTTTAAATTCATTCAGGGCCGGACATGAAAGTCGCTCCAGTGCTTTGCTGAGCTACATAAGAAAGATATGGAAAGAAACTCTTCAGCTCAAGGTGGGGGGGGGCACACGAACCTGGAGGACAAAATAATCATCTGTGCCGCTGTGTGTGTGCGGCAGTTAAATGGGGGGGGGGGGGGGGGGTTAAGAGGATGGAGCTTGCAGAGGATGGGATAACAGAGAATGTCGACTACAGAGGGTGGGGCCAGTAGAGGATGGGGTTATAGAGAATGTAACCTACAGAGGGGGATATGATATGATATGATATAACTTTATTGTCAAACACGAGTCTGAAAATTTTCTTGCGTTACAGCAGTTCTACTTGTGGCATCACAAAAAAAACACTTAAAAACACAAATAGATACATTTAACATACCATCACAAGGATCCATTCAATATACATTTAGTCTTGAATTACTGTAAGTTCCATAATTGGTTTTAGGATTGACTGATGCACAAGACAGAGCTTCAGTCTATGAAATTGTGGAACTCTGTATCTCTGGTTTGATGTGAGCGCAAACAGAGCATACTGAAATGCAGAGCAGCTGTGCACACTATGGTTAAGGTTAGGGCTGGGTAGGGGTTAAGGTTCTCTTTGTAGGGATTAGGGTTTTGCCCACAGAAATGTCCCCACAAAGATATGAACACAGGCTTGTGTGTGTGTGTGTCTCTGTCTGTGTGTCCACATACCTGGGGGCACAGGCTGTCGATCTGGGTGGCGGCCATGCGGACCAGCTTCACACCTTCCTCGTTGTTGGAGATGGAGCAAGCGAGGTTGGCTACCTGGGGAGGGAAATCAGGGGTTAGACGGTGTGGCATGGGGGGGGGGGTATCCTGCAATTCACACACAATCATCATTCCTTTACACTTTCCTTTCCTTAATTACCCACACTTTTTAGGTCTCGACAGCAACCCCCCCCCCCCAACACAATGTCCCATGCTGCAATCGAACTGGAATTACTGGGGCAGCATATGGGCCGCGGGTCACGCTCGTTTGCTCAAGCTCTCGGGTGTGGACCCGTCCCCTCGCCACCAACC